TGTTTCACAAAGTTTTGCCCACCGTCGGGCCAACCGTGGCCCAAAGTTCGGCCGACCAAGAAAGTTTAAGTCAATGAAACTGCGTTTCTAGAGTTTTGTCAACCGTTGGGCCAACCGTGGCCCAGAGTTCGGCCAACCAAGAAAGTTTAAGTCATTTAAACCGCATTTGACAAAGTTTTGCCAACCGTTGGGCCAACCGTGGCCCAGAGTTCGGCCAACCAAGAAAAATCAAGTCAATTAAACTGCGTTTCACAAAGTTTTGCCCACCGTCGGGCCAACCGTGGCAAAAGTTCGGCCGACCAAGAAAGTTTAAGTCAATTAAACTGCGTTTCACAGAGTTTTGCCAACCGTTGGGCCAACCGTGGCCCAGAGTTCGGCCAACCAAGAAAAATCAAGTCAATTAAACTGCGTTTCACAAAGTTTTGCCCACCGTCGGGCCAACCGTGGCCCAAAGTTCGGCCAACCAAGAAAGTTTAAGTCAATGAAACTGCGTTTCTAGAGTTTTGCCAACCGTTGGGCCAACCGTGGTCCAGAGTTCGGCCGACCAAAAAACTATAAGTCAATTATACTGCATTTGACAAAGTTTTGCCCACCGTCGGGCCAACCGTGGCCCAGAGTTTGGCCGACCAAGAAAGTTTAAGTCAATGAAACTGCGTTTCTAGAGTTTTGCCAACCGTTGGGCCAACCGTGGCCCAGAGTTCTTCCAACCAAGAAAGTTTAAGTCAATTAAACTGTGTTTCACAAAGTTTTGCCCACCGTCGGGCCAACCGTGGCCCAAAGTTCGGCCGACCAAGAAAGTTTAAGTCAATGAAACTGCGTTTCTAGAGTTTTGTCAACCGTTGGGCCAACCGTGGCCCAGAGTTCGGCCAACCAAGAAAGTTTAAGTCATTTAAACCGCATTTGACAAAGTTTTGCCAACCGTTGGGCCAACCGTGGCCCAGAGTTCGGCCAACCAAGAAAAATCAAGTCAATTAAACTGCGTTTCACAAAGTTTTGCCCACCGTCGGGCCAACCGTGGCAAAAGTTCGGCCGACCAAGAAAGTTTAAGTCAATTAAACTGCGTTTCACAGAGTTTTGCCAACCGTTGGGCCAACCGTGGCCCAGAGTTCGGCCAACCAAGAAAAATCAAGTCAATTAAACTGCGTTTCACAAAGTTTTGCCCACCGTCGGGCCAACCGTGGCCCAAAGTTCGGCCAACCAAGAAAGTTTAAGTCAATTAAACTGTGTTTCACATAGTTTTGCCAACCGTTGGGCCAACCGTGGCCCAGAGTTCGGCCAACCAAGAAAGTTTAAGTCATTTAAACTGCGTTTCTAGAGTTTTGCCAACCGTTGGGCCAACCGTTGCCCAGAGTTCGGCCAACCAAGATAAATCAAGTCAATTAAACTGCGTTTCACAGAGTTTTGCAAACCGTTGGGCCAACCGTGGCCCAGAGTTCGGCCAACCAAGAAAGTTTAAGTCAATTAAACTGCGTTTCACATAGTTTTGCCAACTGTTGGGCCAACCGTGCCCCAGAGTTCGGCCAACCGAAACTGAAAGTCTTTTAAACTACGTTTGGATAAGTTGTGCCAACCTTTGTCGCCAAAGTTGGCCCGACGGTTGGTTAAACTCTGCATTTAATGGTTGGCTTGCAAAGTCGGGCCAACTGTGGGCACAAGTACTTGCTAAAGTTGGGCAAACTCTGGCAACCAAAACTTTGCTTGCCAAAGTTAGGCCAACCTTGGGCCAACCTTCAAACTGTGGCGGCCAACCTAAATTCGCACCTGGGATAGCGAAAGAAAATGTAATCTCTAGTTTCTTTAGAGTCATAAAACCGAGAAATTCTTGAAAGAATATAAAAAATATCTCAAGTGTCCTTTTCCATAGGACAATGCAACATGTGTTTACCATACTTGTGACCACAGAAATGGCTTCGAAAAGTCACGTACACATAGACTTTCATTACACGGAAAAAAAAGTTCACGAATCTCTCGTGAACTAGTATATCACTTTTGGATGGGAAACAAAATTCTTGAAAATCAACAAACACAGTTCGTCAAAATTTCATCAACTCCTTCACTAGAAACATAGTACGGTTTCCCAACTTTTCGTCAAAGTTAACGAAAAATTCGTGAACTTTTAAAAAATGCTAAAAACAAGAAAAAATAATTTCCAGACACTACTTTTTTATAGTATTTCACTTTATTTGATAACTTGACGCCTATTACGCACCCAACTACACAGAATACACAATTTTATCGCCATTAAAATTCGTAATTCGCTTCACGGGATTCGAACCTAGTACCTATACCCTATAACATAATATTTCTAACAACTAACCGCCACGGCTAAATCTAGATACACTGTCCTTCGACAAACGAAACGATTAGCTTTGTCTGCTGTAAAACTCAGGACCGTGCAAAGTAGAAAAAGTCCCTTATCGTAACTTTTAATTCATTTTATGAATTATTTGTTTCACAAAGGAAATTAGCAAACAAAAATATTCACTAAGTAATAAAAAACACTGATTCTAAATAATAACTTTCATCAAAGAATTTTCCCGAATGTAAACACCGATGACACCGACTGAATGATGAATGCTTGATCAGCCATATTTGATGCGCATTACGAACTGCGCATACTACTGACACTCGCGAGTTCACGATTTTTTCGTGAACTTGTACCTCTACTTTTGACGAACTACTCTTCATTAACAGTTCATCAAAAATTCATTAACTTTGTTTCAGTTTTTCGTTGACGTTCGCCATTTCTAATCAAAAGTGAATGAAAATTTTGAAATTTTGTGTCCCATCCAAAAGTGATATACTAGTTCACGATGAGAGATTCGTGAACTTTTTTTTCCGTGTATGCGATGAACCTTAATTATCAATTGTATAATATGAACGTTATGAACAATTAACAACAATATTATATTGTTGCTAATTGTGCAGTATGAATGTATTATTTGAAAATAATATTAGTAAACTTTATCTGATTGATTGTTGTAATATTATGGTATTATATAATATTAACGTATTATATATATTAACGTATTAATATAATTATAATATTATATTAGGATATATTATCAAATTAGTTATCGTAATTGTTGTCTATATTTAAATATGATGAGTGCAGTATAAGAGATTTATTATGTTACTAGATATGATGTAAATAATTAATAATTGTGTAATTAGTGTGAATGCAAAAGGGTTATGTTCACTTGTTGTGATACATGCATGAAGTAGAGTATGTTTATACGTGTATTAGTGCAGTGCAGTGTTAGTGTTGTGATTCTAAAAACTTCATAGACTTTACAAACTCTATAACAGGGCATGCGCAAAGATTCTGCCATGGACCAAGGGATAAATGCTCCCTCACGAATTCAGTTCTACTTTGGAGTTCTTTCGTAACCCAGTGGGCAAAAAACCATCATTGTTTTAAAAACGTTCCAAAAACGCTTTTAGAACGTTTCATGTCTGCTAAATAATGTCCCAAAAACGTTATATGGTTCTAAAACGTTTTAAAAGCAATGGAACGTTTTTGGAACATTATTTTGCAGACATGAAACGTTCTAAAAACGTTTTTGGAACGTTTTTAAAACAATGATTGTTTTTTGCCCACTGGGAATGTACTTCAGAGTAGTCCCAAAAATAGTTATAAGAATAACTTCGACTTGTGTAATGTTTTTGACTTTAATAAATGTATTGGGTTTACTCGCGAATTTAGTTGGATTAATGATTAATTAATATTATTAATTATTAATTGATCCTTCTTATTCGTGAGGTTTTTCCCTCCGTTTTAACGGAAATTAACTTGTTTTATTTGAATATTTCCGCCTTCCTTTTCAAAGGATTAAACCAAGATTGAACATCAAATCAAATCGCGGATCTTACGCCTGCGCGTAAATAACGTAACTCCGCACGTAATGACGTAACAGTTCTACTCGCATCGAAGTTACTCCAGCCCGTACATATAAAGGCTGAACTCCTCAGGTCCATTCGTAGAATATAATAATTCTGCCCCCTGCCTCTCCTATTTTTGCACAGGATGTGAGGCAATTTTTTTGAAAGAGAAAAGATCTCACTAATTACTGTGATGACTTTTTTCTATTACAAATATAATAATTAAAAAAAAAATTAATAAACAATTTTTAATTTTTATAATTAAATAATTATAATTTTAATAAATAATTTTTGTTAATTTAAAAAATTTTTATTATTGGCGTTTCATTGGCAGCCATTAATGTGCCAATGATGGCTGCCAATTATTGGCAACGACGTAGTCAGCCCATTACTTTACCACTATTGGTCCATTAATGGGTGCCATTAATGGCATGCCTGATGGCTCCCATTATTGGGCCATTAATGCGCCAATGGTTTTTTTCCCATTGGGTATGGATTGCGATTATTGAGCATTGAAATCTTTTTTCTTTATTTACAGCCCTCACCGAAATATCTATTGTTACGAGGTTCGGGTCTCTAACCAAATTTCTATTGCTCAAAAGTTTTGCAATTTTAAAATTTCAAGTAAAATGAATATTAATTCAAAATCTAGAAATCTCCACAATTACAAATATCTAAAATTTATTATAAAAACCATTTTTTAAGAATACTGTAAGGGGCCGTCCATATATTACGTAACGCTAATTTTTGAAAATTTTGACCCCCCCTCCCCCCATGTAACACACTGTTACATACATTAGCGCCATTTTTTTGGCTTATCGTAACAAATAGCTTCACCCCCCTCCCCCTAAAAAGTGTTACGTAATATATGGACGATCCCTAACGTATCTCGAAAACCGTAATTGATAAATAAAAAAGGGGATATATCATTTTTGAATTTAAGTTCTAAAGGATATATTGCATACATAATAAGAGCATATATAGAATTTTTTTAATGCTTCTTAATCTTTGCTTTCTTACTGGGTATTCAAGAGGATTGATATCGTTACTATTTATATTGCTCTCACTGGATAGAAAAGTATTGGACAGAAATGGCATTCAAAAGAATTTTAATTTACCTTGCCACGCAAGTTTTCTGCAAGCTTGTTCCGCAAACTTTACACAAGGCGGAAATTTACCAATTTGCCACAAATTTGCGAAGTTTGCAAAATGTTGTGCTATCTGGGTATCTATATAGAAAAATTAGCTTGTCAAAATATTTTGTATAAGGTGTCATTGGAAAGGTAATTAAATTATCTTTTCATAACGCGGTGCTAAAAAGGGCACTTTTTTGCACCTTGTTATGAAAAATATCGTTCGTAACTAGTGCTAGCAGTTGCCAATTTTTGAACGAGCACTTTTTTTTGGAACAAACTGTAGGCGAAGCTTCATTAGCAACTGCTCGCACTCGTTACGAAATATACTATTTGATCCATTGGTCATGGAATAAAATTCAACAGATATTCAATAGAAATCATATTATCTATTGTTGGTATAAACATTTAACAACCTATGTAACATTAATTTAAAATATAAAATATAGATATTAGTTTGAAAATACTTACTGCAAAGGTGTAAAATTTATGTGTTTTCGAAGCAAGAACTATTAGAATAACTTTAATCTTCAGTATTTGCTTGAAATCTAATGCAACTTCGTAGAAGACTGGGAGTGGAGTTTGAGGATTTTGTCAAACTTTTCAAATTTAACTATTGTTACACGTATAAGGTATCACTAGATTTTGTGTACTGTTAACCAATAGAAAATGTACAAGTGCATCAATCAGAGTTAAAAAGAAAAAGTATATTTTGGTATCGAAAAGAACATAAAATTCATTTTCATGTTGGTAGGAAAGTTCTGATAATTGTATCTTATAGTTTGATAAAAAGAAACTTCACGATTCTTTATGTGCGGACATAATTATGTAGCTCTAGAATTTTTATAGCTTATAATATCGCGCTCATTATTGTAATACTTTAAGAAATGTTTAAACAATGTTGCGGATATATTTTTAAAAATAAGTTTTGAAAGATGTAAAATCGAAAGCAAAATTTTGATGAGAGTGAAAAGGATATACTATCAACGCTATCAACTATCTCCCTTGCACATTACATGAGAGAGAATAAGAGAGATATATCTTTTGTCTTCTTCTATCTCATGTAAAGTTTACAACTATTGTTTACTGTCTTACTGGCTGTTTTCGAGGTTCACGCTGTCTGGTCAGCGCTGAGAAAATAGAAAACGTGGTTGGTTGGGTTAGGGAAAAGGTGAATTTTGATTGGCTAATTGGGATCTGAAATAACGTGAAACTGACCCACCCCTTAGCATTTTTGTGGTAACTGTGACGGCAGGCCTAAATTCACGTAATTCTCCGCTAGGGAAAAACACTACGTAACTCTTCGTACGGAAGAAACTAGGTAATAGCGCTAAGATTCAAAATTAATATCAATATAATAATTGAATTTTAATGTAAAATAAAAACACATGCATTTATTTGCTTATTCCCGTAAAGAATTTTATCATATGCAAAAAATCTAAAGAACGAAATAGAATGGCAACCAAACATGTGCTGCTTTTTGAAAAGGAATAATAGTTAAAATTACAGATGTTGAAATAGTCTGCGAAAATGAGGCAAATGTCACGTAGGACACAAAAAATTAGAATTGAAAAGAAACAGAGTTTATTTCTATAAAAAAATAGCCTTTTGAGAAATACATCTTTCCGAACTTCGAAACCGTTGGGAAAACCCAAACATGTGGTAGCAATAAAAAAAGGGACCGTGGGACTCGGGCCTTACTCGAGTCCCCGGTATAAAAAAAGGGTATTGTACCGTCAGGAAAAACCTATGACTCATCGTTCGTATATAAGAAAAAGAAATGAGTTTTCTATTTAATTACAATATTCAAATTTGATATGAATTTCATATCTTTAATTCTATATGTATGTCACTAACAATTTTATAAAACAACGATTATAAATTGATTACTATTTACCATTTCATTACTAGTTAAATAATTAGATACTCTTAATTAATGATAAAAGTTATAATCACATGTACAGAATTTGTTAATTAATTTATTGATTAATTAAATAACAATAATAATAATAATAATAATAATAATAAATAATAACAAATTATCTACGTTTATTGTAATATCTTATTAGTAATTCAAAGTCACCATAATTCTATGGTAATTAAATATACAGATGCAAAATGTAATTGTAATACTCCGAATGAATTTAACTGAAACCGATTATTATATATTTGGTAATTAACGAAACAAATATTAATTAACTTCATATATTGTTAATGTTAAATTTAAATAATGAATAAATAGAATGAATGTGTAAATAACTTGTAAAATAACACTCTCCGTCAGGGTTGTATTGGTCACAGGGAAGTTCAAAGGAAGGGGTAGTCATCCCCTCTACTCAACGCGCGCAGGGTCCTATGGGGACCCATGGACCACAGGATCTTATCTCGACAGATATCTCCGGGCACTCAGACCGATTACATGTTGTAATCCTTCGGCTCAAATTTGTAACCTTTTTCCCTTAATGTTCATTAAAGTAACAAGTTAAAAGTATTTCTGTTGTTATCATTTGAAGTAGAAGTTGAATCTCCCTCCTATTTACAGGGTACACTTTAGTGTTCTAGCAGCATAAAATCCCCATCATTTTTAATAATCAAAAATCCCTATTATCGAAGTTGGGACGTGACAGTAACCGTCTTGGATTTTATCTTTTTCTTGAACGCATATCAAAAAGAGACGAAACGAAAGATGGCTACCACAACAAGGCTCTCACTAGATGGCGTATCGTAGTATTTCAGATCCCAATATCTAAATTAATCGTTTTCATGCTCGCTTTTCACGCTGTGTCATTTCAACCCAGCATCGTGCCAGCATCAAACTATAGCTCGAAAAAATAGGTGCCAATATGCAAGTGCCAGTGCCAAACCCATTAAAGGCGGTTCCAGAATAGGTGCAAAAGGCAAGGTGGAAGTACAAGTGCAAGTGCGAACCAATGCTAAATGTATAGGAATCGCACTTGCACTTGGACTTGCTACCTACATTTTGCACATAAAGGTGCTTCTATACCTCCGGTGGATTGGTCAAGCAATCGGCTCGATGAATTTTCACGGTCGGAAAATGTACTTTCATGGCGGGTATTTTTGAATAAGTAAATGTTGAAAAGGTTTTTACTTGAAAATTTATTTAAAAAAATGATTTTATCATAGAAATTCTTTTGAAATTTATATTAAAAAACATGTTTTATTTTAAAAGTTATCAAATTTTAATTCAAAATGTTTTAATTTTCCAAAGAAGTGTAAAAAGCCTAATGTTTTTGAAATGCTAGTACAGACTGTTTGTTATGAATGTACATAACCTAGCGTTGTGTTGTCTGTTCATTATTATTTAATATAATAATAATAAAATCATTAAATTTAGAATATAATATCACAAGCACGACAACACAACGCTAGGTTATGTACATTCATAACAAACAGTCTGTACCGTCTGTACTAGCATTTCAAAAACATTAGGCTTTTTACACTTCTTTGGAAAATTAAAACATTTTGAATTAAAATTTGATAACTTTTAAAATAAAACATGTTTTTTAACATAAATTTCAAAAAAATTTCTATGATAAAATCATTTTTTTAAATAAATTTTCAAGTAAAAACCTTTTCAACATTTACTTATTCAAAAATACCCGCCATGAAAGTACATTTTCCGACCGTGAAAATTCATCGAGCCGATTGCTTGACCAATCCACCGGAGGTATAGAAGCACCTTAAGTATTGTGGACTCTCCATAAAATGTATTGGGGATTGGCACTGGCACTTGCACCTACATTGGCCAATGTAGGTGCAAGTGCCAGTGCCAATCCCCAATAGATTTCAGCCAATCAGAATTCACTTTTCCCCTAACCCAACCACTGTGCGTTGGCCTTTAGCAGACGCTCGTGCATGAGTTCAACCTTCTTTTACCAATCTTGTTACTACATGACCTCTATCTCTATGGCGAAAACCAACCATTGTTTATTTTTTTATTTGATGATTGTTTTTTCCAAGTTGTTTTTTAACAAATGATTTTTTATCTTTACCTTTGATTATCCTTAACTTTTCAAAAATTGTCAATAAAATGTTTATTTTTGACGCTTTTCTAAAACATATGTTTGGGGTTTTTCTGGTTAAGTGTAGTTAAACAGGTTAAACAAGAGAACAAGTCGACGCCTCCCGTTCATATAATGCTTATTCAAAAACAAATGCAAGATCATTCTTATTCAGTTTTTAGTGCAAGACAATTCTTATTCGATTTTCCGTGCAATAAAATGCTTATTCAAAATTCTATGCTAAAAAGTACAATCTGAAATTAGCTTACACTATGAGTTTTATAAAATTTTCAATTGAATATAATTTTTAATTACAATTGCTAAAACAATATTTCTTAATACGCAAGAGATAATCAAGTATTAAATTTTCTAATAACAATAGATACGCACTGAAATTCTCAGATATTTAATTGCAATTTAATATTAAAAAGATGATTTAGGGTTACATTTTTTGTTCTGTCAGTGGCAATTGTTTTGCACACAATTTTGAATAAGCATTTTATTGCACGGAAAATCGAATAAGAATTGTCTTGCACTAAAAACTGAATAAGAATGATCTTGCATTTGTTTTTCAATAAGCATTATATGAACGGGAGGCGTCGAAGTTATTGTTGGTGGTTTAAACAATGTCCGAAGCAAGATATTTATTTAATCTGGCGGAAGGTATTCTTTTATAATTGCAATAAAACATGATAGGCTGATATTGATTCTTCTGTGAATGTTATTTTTATTACGAAATGAAGACTAATACAAATTTTAATTAATTCCTATTCAAAATAATCACGTAGATTCGCAATAAGTGCCGGTTAAAACCTGTAAATACATGTGATTATACATGTATAATACACGTGGTTATGTTTGCTAGGAATTACTTTACTATTTACTAGACACCCTTTCCTTCCACTAAAATAATGTCAAGAAAGGTTCACTTTAGCAATTATTGTTTAAGCCCTTCCCCAAAAAGAAATCGACAATATGGGAGCGATCACAAGTGATATCACGCAATTTCATGTAATTTCACATGTGAAAAATACATTGTATCACGTTTAGTAGAGAAAGTTTTGGATATTTTTTCATTTTGTGATACTTAATGCGATTCTAGTTTATTCTGCATCAGCATATTATTTATGAAGAAACGAATAACTTGAAAACTTATTAAATTGTGTTTTGAGTGGCCACATGTCAATAAACTCAGGTAAATGTCAGGAAAAAAAAAAATTTCTTTTCAGGGAAATTTAGAAATTTCAGATTTTTTTCGACTTTTTTTCGAAAATTGCGACTTTTTCTACTTTTCCTCCAAATATTGCAAGAAAATATCATAATTTTTTAAAATTTAATTATCTTCAAATAAAGCAAATAAAAATTTATTTTTTTGGACTTATTAAAATTTCGGAGAAATCATGGTCATATTTACAATTAAAATTCTTCAAAAATTTGATTATTTTTATTTTTTTTAAATATTATACCGTAATAAATAAACGTGGACAGTTGCCCAAGGCGAGAAAAAAGAGCTCACGAAGCCCCCTTCGAAACTCAGGTCCACGGAAGCTGTGAAGATCACGGCAAGAGACCCAAAGTTTTACGAGGGTATCTTGCCGCTGATAAAAGAAAAGGTTAAACCTGAAGATACAGGCACCGTGGTACAGAAAATCAGGAGAACTT